AGTTAGTGAAAAAAATGTGATGATGCTATGATGCACTAGTTCATCATTTATCACCCTAATGGCACCTCTCCACTTTGCAATCTTGTCTGCCTTTCCCAGCTTGCTGCTTTCCATGATATCCTTGAAGTAAATTTGAAGGATGCAGTTGGCTGCAGCATTGAGCTCAAGCAATTTCTTGAAGAGCTTGCAAGATGATGATGATGACATGTTTCTGATGACAAGACAATGGAGTAGTTTGACAGTGAGAGTGGTGATGGTGATTGGAGAGTGGAAGAGTCAGAGGTTAAAGACAGACAATGAGATATGTGGATGTCACATTTTTTATCCCACCTATGAATGATTCCCACAGCATGACAGCAATACCAGTACAAGTCAATAATCCTGAATGCATATATGAAGCAGAGGCTCAGATAAAAATATGATGTGTTGTTCTGGAATAGCATTGCTGTTTGTTTTGCATGTTTCCCATCTGCTCCAATGGCAGAGCCTGGCTCACAGCTACATAGACCAGCACCTGAGATTCCAACTAAATAGGCAAATCATCCAATGTGAAACACAATTTATAGTGGGAAATTCAGATACTTTACAGTGTGAGAGGTTCCACTTTCTTCATTTCTTGTCTTCCTGGGCCCATCTTATATTGTAACAGGGGGATAACCCAATTATGGATAGGCCCATCCATTTGTGGTGAGCTATCTATGATATGATGGATTGGCCTGTCTTATGCAGTGCCAAGAGTTTGTAATCCTGCAATGGACAGATTGGCCTGTCTTCTGTTGTAACACTGGTTTTTGTTTTCCCTTATCTGCTGCCTGAGAATACCATGGATGGGCCCATCCTTATGTAGATCCCTTTGATCTCCCTTTCTGCTGCCTAAGAATACCATACATGGACTTGTCCTTATGTTGCAACAGGGGTGCATCTTGCTAGATGGGCCCATCCATTTGTTGTGATGATATACATGATACTACTGAAGGGCCTGTCCTTATGTTGTGATGCTATTAGATGATATTACTGATGGGCCCATCCATATGTTGCAACAACATAAACAATACTACTGAAGGGCCCATCCTTATGTTGCGACACTATTAAACAACATTACTGATGGGCCCATCTTTATGTTTTGACAGAGTACATCTTACTGGGGCTGAGCCCACCCATATGTTGTGACAATATAAATAATACTACTGAAGGGCCTGTCCATATGTTGTGATGCTATACATGAGATTACTGACAGACCCATCTTTATGTTTTGTCAGAGGTACATCTTACTGTGGACAGGCCCATCCATATGTTGTGACTCTATTAAATGATATTAGTGACAGGCCCATCTTTATGTTTCAACAGGGTACATCTTACTGTGGCTGGGCCTGCCCATATGTTGTGATGCTATGCATGAGATTACTGATGGGCCCATCTTTATGTTGTGACAATATAAATAATATTACTGTAGGGCCTGTCTTTATGTCTTGTCAGAGGTACATCTTACTGTGGATGGGCCTGACCTTATGTTGTGACTCTATTAAATGATACTAGTGACAGGCCCATCTTTATGTTGTGACAGGGGTATGGCTTGTTATGAATGGGCCTGTCTAGATGTTGCAACACCATAAATGATATTACTCCCAGGCCCATCCATACGTTGCCAACTTTGTATTCTAATCATAGACAGGCCCATCCTTATGTTGTGACCCTCTCCATGTTATGATAGGTGGGCCTATCTCAGGGTCTATATAAGTGTTGGTGTTTTGGCACACAGGCTGCCCATGTGTTGTGACTAAATGTGACTACATGATGTGACATCCTGCAAAACATGGCATGCATAGCAAGGTTGTGTAAATGCTGTCAACCACGTCCTCTGTGCTCATCACACACCTTTCTGATATCCTGCAATGAACCCTTGATACTTGACTAGGCATGAAGAGGTCCTCATTTTCCATGGGAAGCTCCAAGAAAATATAGCCATGGAGGTGTACTTTGGCCATACCTAGGAAACTGGATTATGGTAAGTACTGTAATACTCAGATCAATCAAGAAGTTTATATGCATGCAGGCATTGCACAATCCAGCATGGATTTGTGGTTCACCCCCTTGATCTTTGACACAAACATGGAAGGTGTTAGCTCACTTGCCATGCCCAGTGTTTTAGCTCTTGGCTAAACATCAGATCCTCCATAACTAATTGCCATGCATTAACAGGTCTTTCCATACAACCATGAAGCTATCCTGTCAATGGATTTGTTGGAACATAAAGTGCCCCTGTGGTACTTGACCACTGTGCGATGTTTTGGCTGCTTACATAAGCTGAAATAGCGCACATACTTGTAGTATTTCCTACTAGTATTCCCTCAGTAGTTTGTTCACTACTGAGGGTAAGTCCATTCATATTACAAGTGTTCTACTATACTGACATCCTGTAGTAGCCTACAGATATTTCTACTGGATTGTCATGAATGCTGATTGGTGACTATCCACTACTGCATGATAGAGCTAAACACATTGTGGAGGGGACAGGGCATGGGCACACACTTTACATCAAGGAAATGGTGATTGGTCAGAGACCCACCTAGGTCCCAATTACTGCATGGGAGTATGAGAATAAGAGAATTGATAGCAAGAGTAGAGTTTCCACTACCAGATTGAGTTCCTAATACCTAATGGAACTATGTCAAAATCATGTAAATGACAATCTCTAATCTGTCCAGCTGTCGACACTGTGCAAATCAAGTTGACAATCCACACCCGAATTCGAAACATGCTAACAGGCCTAGGAAAATATATCGCGTCTTGTCTGGAGGTCAGTCTCTGTTGACATTTAAGATTGAAGCTATCTGCCAGAGATTCTGCACATCTGCGGGGGCAGTATGAGACACAAGTACACACGTTGCAAATTATACACAGGTCAGGAATGTTCTAACTATGTGTGGAAGTCCCTGAAGGGAGCTCTTCCATTCACATCTCCTCATGTTTGTCGCTTATTAGATGTGGCAGGCAATGTTTCATTCATATCAATTGCAGGCGCTAATTTATGTATTACAGTTTCGTTCATTCCGAATTACAGTAGCAAAGCTGAAAAAAGAAGGAAAATAACCGTATACAACAATGCGCTATACTCTCTGGAATACGTGTTGTGACGGAGTCTTCGCTTTGGAAGAGCAGGTGATATCTAGGCGCAATCACAAGCATCTCCGGAACATGCTCCACGTTCCCGCATATCTTGGTTCCACCCACATAGTTTGTAGGCTTCGCTTTGTGGGTTGAAGGGAGTCATTTACATTGCTGCTCAGCGCTCAAGATTGCGACGTTCAACGTTCGGCTGCCATGCTGTCATCTTTGGTCCGCCTAGGCTATACTAGGTTCAATACATTTTACTCAGGCGTCTATGGCCTTCCCCCTCATGAGCCGTGTGCCTCGTTGCAAACGACGGGTAGCACGTAAAGGGAGAATATAGGGACCTTCTTCAGTTTACGCCCTCACCTCCCCCCAGTCGTGGTCTAATTTCTACATATTCCTCTCTCACGATGGAACAGGACCCCAAATCGTCAACTACCTTTGATATCCACTTCTTCCTGTTCTTTGCAGCGTTCTGTGTTGTCGACGCATGGATTGGGTCTATCTAATTCGGCAACGAAACTTGGCTGTGTGGTAGGGACCATTCTGTTTGTTAGCTCCACAGCCGTCGTTATGTTCCCGAATCTGGTTATTGGTGTAGTCAATCAGTCCTACTATAATCTCACAACATGTATCTTTTATTTCCTTTGGAATTCTGGACACGGCATTACTAAATGATGAAATTTATATCTTAGAATCCAGCCCTTAGCAACAGTCACTTCGAAGGCGTTTAACACGCTTGCCCACCGTCCCCAACGTTTTCGCTCTTGGGTAAACATCAAAGCCTCGATAGCCAATTGCCATGCGTTGATAGGTCAATGTTCAACCCCTAGCTTTCCATACAACCTTGAACCTATCGTACCAATGGATTGTCATGAGTGCTGATGTAACTATCCATTGCTGCATGGGGGCGCTAAACACGTAGTGGAGCGGTCGTGGGCACGCGCTTCGCATTATGGAAATGGCGATTGATCGGATGTCCTATATACCGCAGTGGAGTATGAAAAGAATTGATAGCGGGAGTGGAGTTCCTACCCCGGAACCATATTGAATTTACGTAACCAGCGCATCCAGCCGTCAATTGACGCCAAACAAATCATCAGGTTCATGGCACAATCTTCACAAAAAGTTCCTACGGCTCGCTATGCAAAGGGTCAGCACTGGTTGACACAAACTTTGTTAAAGGCTTCCTGTTGGTCAGTCTCCACCAACATTGGAATTGAAACCATTCGCTAGAGATATAGCACTCCTGTGTGGGTAGTACTAGCAGACGCGCTACAAATTACACACCGATCGAGGATGTTCTAGCAAGGCATGGAAGTCCCTGAAGGAATGTCTTCCACACCGTCTCCTCATGTTCGGCGTTTACTAAATCACAATTTCTCATTTCGGATCAATTGCAGGTACTGACTCATGTATTACAGGTATGTTTATTACAGCAGCAAAGCAACAAAAAGAGAGAGAAATATGTACAACAACGCATCATTATTTGGGTTGCGATCGACTCCTTGCTTCGGGAGAACAGCTAATATCTAGACATTCACAAGCTTCTCCGGAACAAAGTCCACGTTCCCACATATCTCGGTTCCACCTACATAGCTTGCAAGTGGGCATCTGTCTGGTGGGTTGAGGGCATGCGTGACTAGATCCACAGACCTATATTCTGGGTTATTGCTCGGCGCTCAGCGTTCAACGATCAACCACCATGCTGATATTTTTGGCGCACATGAGTTATACTAGGTGATATACGGCCTTCTGCTCGCTGTGGGTTGTGTGCCTCATTGCAAATCGAAGGTAGCACATAAAAGGAGATGGTAGGCACCTTCTTCAGCTGACGCCCTTACCTCCCTCCAGCCGTAGCCCAATTTCCACATCATCATCCTCTCATGATGTTTGCGAATGACGATGTCCCTGATCACTTCGACAAGAATATTGTGCATGACGATTTCCTTGCTTACCTCGACAAGATGCGCAAACTGCGCGAACGACTTGCTGCACTCGGACAGTCCGTCAACAATGACGACTTTGCAGCCATCATACTCAGCTCACTTCTGGAACGCACCAATGATTCTGAGCAGGATAAGGACAAGGACCAGGACAAGGACAAGGGCAAGGGCAAGGACAATATTTGGGTCTCATTCTGGAAATGTGAGTGGTATTTTGATGATGTTTCTAACAGTCTATCTATTTCTAACCATCCATTCATTCATACAGCTGTTTCCCTTCTCTCACTTGGAGCGCCTTCACTAGACAAGATTGGCAAGCTCAAAGGCAAGAAGTTCACGGAGCTCAGAGACAAATTAATGGAACGCACGAAAAACCTAACCGTCGTTTCCGCCCTTGCTGTCTCGTGCGTCCCAAACTGAGTTGCTCTGATGTACCCCTGGTATACTCACTCTGTTGCAATGCAAGGACCACTATTTCATTTCTGACCGCTCCTCCCCCAGTCGACTACGCAGCCTGGGACAATAAAGTCCCATACCTTTTTATCGCGGGTGCTTGTTGGAATACTATAATGTCCACTGCGTGCGGTCTTGGCTTAATTATGTACTTGGGCATCATGACCGAGGATTCCATTGAGGTCAGTCTGTCACTGTTATCGATGATTCCTGTCGCTTTGGTAACAACCAACGACTATAGCGAATCAAGCGAAACTTCGAACGCTATATCGCTGTCGCGTTGTTGGTGATGCCAACTGTCTTCCTGTTCGTTGGCGCGGGCTGCGGTTCCATGGCATGGCTTGTCGCTGTCTGGTACGGTGACATACTTTGGGTGAAGATAGTAGTGACTGCTGTACTCTTTGTCTGCGTAGTGCTCGTTGTGCTCCTATTTCTGGTTTTTCCCAATCTCTGTTGGTTCTGCTACTATATCACAACATGCATCTGTACTCTTGGTACACTTAACATCGAAACTCATCTCTTGGAGATCAGTCCCTGGAAACAGCTACCGTGGACACTCGTTGAGGTTTGCAGTTACTAATGATGTCATTGAAATCTACTCCAAGTCGTTTGCGACAACCTGGCGTGCCGGTGGATTCGTCGGAACTGTCCGGTCCAAGAATGCTCGGCAACACCGCAGTGAATAGTATGACAACGTGAACATGCACGGTGAATATGCGACGGTGCCTCTTCCTGCGAGTGTAACTGTCCGGTGCACTTTACGACGCTTCCTCGAATCCCTGTCACACGAATCAGACCTCACAAAACGATAGCTAGCTGTGACCAAGTAATGAACCTCCGCTGAATCTGCTTTGCAAAGTAGCGATAGTAAAAGATGCATACACACCTTTCCATTGGCTATGAATATACATTCGTGCCGAAATCCGAGCACCTGCTTTGGACCGGATCACAGGCATGACCTCACATCGGAGAGACATAAAAGCAACGAACTCTCGCTTGGCAGCCACCCATCACTCTTGTCCTGGTACAACTAACACATCATGGTGGACGTCCGGTCGAACTTCGCCCTCATGTATATCCGGGTGAACCTAGTGCCCATAGTGGTCAGCAGCGACCTACCAGTCCTCCTGGGGGTATTCATGGAGCGTTTCACTATCGTCACCGATTCTGCGACAACGACTACCATATGTATCTTCGACTCCAACCAAGCTGGAAGGCCATGACACCTCGGTATTTCTGCTTTCTTGTTGCAGCAATGATCCTCGGAAGCGAGGACGGCGAATCCCGCACAAAAATGGTGCAGAATCAAGGAAATCTTGTGGGACGACGAGTAGCCACTCAGAGATAGACGATGTTGTGTACATTCAGTTCCCGTTATGCCCTTGGGCTACCCTTAGGGGTGGAAATCCGCAAAACTAGGGTACGGTCCGCTGGGACTGGGTCCTAAAATTCAGTGTAATCATTCATTGGGCAGGAGGCGAAGGACGTTCGCACTTACCTACCGTGCACAACTACTCATCTTGCTTTAAGATCACATCCACCATAGTCGGTAAATGTCGAGTAAACCGGAAGTCTACTGAGCGATTTCATTCTGATCATGTCCTCAACGAATACACCACGCTGACGTGTCCCGTCGCAACTCTCGGACCTCAGCATTCCCTGTCGTTCGACGGAGGAACCTGGAACAGACATGCGCCACACTCTGGTGTGATAGTTGGGTGAGCCTCCCGAAGCTCTGCCGTTCGAACTTCCTACTAAGCACTTCTTCATATGCCAAGTCATCTTGAAACGTCCTCTGAAGAAGGAACTGAAAAGCATATCCACCTCGCAGCGAGCTTCGTATCACATTCTCGAGCGCAAAGTTAGCATGTGTGCCGCCGCTCATCCCCGCCGTTCCATAGGTGCCAGAGAAATGAGGATCGTTGTCAGAAGTCTGCAATGCACATGAATTTCCATATGATCGTCTGCCAGCGTGAGCCTAATCCAATGATAAGAATATATATAAAGTCGACGACGACGCGATACTTTACCAGACTCGTGCCTCTGTTGGTCTGCCAGGCCAACTCCTCATCCGACCTCATCCCTGGGACCAAGACAAGTGGCATTCCCAAACAATGCTGTACCTCTACTTCACATTTGCTTTCTTCCTCTCCACGCCTGTTCTCGGGCAGATGACCACCTTTCTCGCCTATGACGCCATCTATGGCGATGCCAGTTGTCCCCTCTCCAGTCTCGCCTGCTCTGATGGGTCCAACGGACTCGAAAGCAAAGGGTACACCACCCTTAGCTCTTTCTCCAACTTCCCTTACCTCGGGGGCGCACCAACCATCGCGAACTGGAACGACGCTAACTGCGGCAAATGTTATGCCATCACGTATGCAAAGAACACTATTAACATCCTTGCACTGGATGTGTCGAAAGATGGGTTTACGGTATCACCGCAGGCGATGAACGTACTGACGAACGGGCAGGCGAGCACGTTAGGGAGAGTGGAGGTCACTGCTGCTGAAGTGCCCGCCAGCGAATGTGGCTTGTGAGGGTGGGACGTGACGGCGCAGTTAACCTTGCTAGCGGTATGCTAGCAGGGATCAGCATTAAAGGACCTTGTCTGTATTTCTTGGCGATGTATCGAGTTCTGTACATGCCCGTTGATCCTTTGATTAGAATACGGGCTTTGTCATTTCTTCACTTGGACATCTTGTACCAGGACGTTGTCAGTGCCTTTGGCGGTACCTCTTAGACTTGATACGTGGTTTGTATAACATCTAGGCACTTCCTTCGGCTTCCAACAGGCAGTTTCAATCCAGACTCTCGTCGATCGTTTGTACGCAGTCTGCAAGTAGGCATTTTCCCAACTTCTCGTTTGATTCGTTGCAAAGATCGTCACGTAGAGAACGTTCGAACAATATGGCGGATACGAACTTGCCTTAGAGCGGTTTGCGAAAATAATGTCAGTTAGCAAAATATTTGTGAGCGCGTCGTGAGCCCTTCCCGATATGGGAATTTAGGAATGTGTGCGTTCATCGCATTCATTTGTCTACATACTACTAGCGATGGCCGAACTACATCATGTACTTACGAGATGGCGCAGTAAACAACATGTGCTGCAACGTACTTACCCATTCACTGTTATTGCGGCACATAGTATCTATCATCTCGAACAAACGCGTCCTTTAGCTGTGCACAGTGACTATATCCTGGTCTTCTGTGGTGCTGGGCGAGCATATGTCACAAAAAGTTTTGGCATCATTGTAATGAAGCCAAATGATAACGTGATGTCCCTGAATTATTATGTGCATTGAAAGAGTCGTTATGATGGCGTGCGAGATCTGATTATGGCATGCTAATGTAATTGGGAAGCGCCGCCAGAAACCTTGCTTGTCCAGCCGTGCGCAATGCACACATATGTGATTTCAACAAGCCCCTCAGATCCCTAAGGAACACTCACCATATTTGTATGCATTCGCTTTGCATGGCCTGAGATGCTGTCACCACTCGCAATGTTGTGGCTTTGAAGAATTGTTGGGTGAACCAGGCAGCCCCGGTCCATAAGTCGTTTTGTCACCATCTTGCATTGCTGCAAATATGCAATATGCTGACCTTTTGCAGTCAGGCACGCTGCTTCCACTCGTCGCAAGTCGACATTGCTGCTGCCGATAGTGCTGTTCACCTCACCATTTCATTCGCCAGCCCTACCACTAGCTTCCTCAACCTCGACACTCGCCACGAAGTCCTTGCTTCTGCCCATCACCTCAACCATTCCCCAAAGGCAATCTTTATGTTTTGCGTGTCCTGGGCTTCGATCAGCGTGTTTCGTGGCGCGTGCACATTGTTTCCGTCAATGTTAACATGTTTCTGTCCTTCGGGATACTTGGCCATTTCAATTTCGAGCTCTAAAGGTGAGTTTTGGCTCCTTGGCTTGTTCTGACTTTTCTGCTCACGTTTTTAGCAGTTTTCAGGTTGTTCCCATTGCTCTGCACGTCCATCCATGCAGTTGACACATCCGCATGTTTCCCCAAGCCATCCACTTCGCCAGCTCTTTGTGCCAATGAGTGAGTTGGGCGGTTTCGGCCCATTCTGACATCTTTGGGTTCTTGCAGCCATTTTTGCATGGATTTGAGCGCACTGTGCCTGCGTGCGTGTGCCTGATGCATCCGCATGGTTCCTGGGCCTGTGTGGCACCTCTAGGTGTGGTTCTGGGGCTGATGCATTCTGATTTATTTTCAGGCCTTCGTGGGTCACTCGCAACGCTCCGCGCGTGTGCGCACGTGTTCCATGCATCTGTTCGGTTTTCGAGCCTTTCTGGCTCCCCTATGCGTGATACTGCGCCTCTGGCAGGTACGTCGGGGGTTGCTAATGAGTTTGCAGCTGTTCATGAGTCGTTCGCAACACTCTGCGCGTGTGTGCATGCATCCGATGCACCTGTTTGACTTCCCAGCCTTTCTGGCTCGCCCACGCACAGTTTTGCGCCTCTGGCAGGTAACCCCAGGGCTTCTGACACTTTGCAGATTCGCATCGCTGTGCGGGTATATGCGTGTGGTTAGTAACCTGGCCCCTCCACCATCTCCCTGCTCTACGACACTGTCAAGTGTGCTCACGGATGCCCACTTGCTGGCTGCCCTCTACCACAATGGTTGTGGCATTGGGAGTCGCAACCATAGATTCATTTCTGCCTGCCAAGGTGCTAACCATATCCTTTCGTTACCTGTTGCGAAGGGGTAAGCTACTTGGTTACAATACTCATTGGATTCCGCAAGGTCATCTGGAATAACAACGTTGTACACTCACTGTGCTCGTCCTCCAACAACTGACACAGAATTTGTTTGGAATTAACCATTTAATATGCAGGGAATTGCTCGTATGGTGTGACGAGCTTCATCGAGAAGGACGCTGATTTGTTAGATGCTGCTTTTGTCTCGCTTTTGTGTCATCTTCCCAGTTATGTGGCTGAGGAGCTAAGTGAGTAGGCTCAAACTGCAGTGGTTGATGGGGAGGCTGTGGCCCAAATAAATCGTCATTAAAGAACTGCATGACTTCCCGTGACCATTTATTATGTTTGAAGAGTAGCCGGACATAAAAATTGAAATCATCATGATATCGAATCTTTGTGTGGTTTCCTTCCACATTGAGTTCTGTGTCATGAGTGAGCAAGTAGCGTGCCTACCACGAAAATGTTATCATTAGCATTCCCTATATCATGGACACGATTTATGTTAGGACTGACCATGACGGTGAAACTAGCGATCATTCCCTCGGTGATGCTATTGACCTTCATAATTTCCCCTCTAGGCTTTGGCCCTCCCCTTTTCTTTGTGCCAAGCAGTGAACTCTTCCCCTTCAACAGAAGACGTGCCATCTATAAGCAGAGTAACTGAGTCAAATTAGAGAAATAGAACACGACAAACTTACTTTGACAAGTACCACACTCTTGAAAATCATGTCTGAGGTCATGTTGTGTGGATCGGTGAACAGAACTGGTGCAAGACGTTCATACTTGTCATTGAGTTCAACATTTTCTGGGAGTTTCAACAAAATGAGAAGATCCTTGCTGGTAGCCTTTGAATCTTGGAGAGACTCTGAAAAGATATCGACAGGAAGTTTCAAAGATGAGAAGACAATGGAAGCACTATCTTTAACTGCTTTGAGCAGGTTAGAATGTTCTGTATTGACATGGTGACGAAACTAATACAAGTCAAATACAATAGTTTAGCACGTATTATCCAGAAGATATGAGTTTAAACTTACTACAGTCTTGAACGCTTGGTATGTCTCCATCTGCTTATGGAGTTCTTTTGGAACCGCCTCATACAATTCTTCAACTGTCCCATCAGCCATCGCTTGAGGGGATGACCAACGCATGGGGCTGCGGGGATCGATGTTTGGTTTTCGAATTGTCGGGAAAATTGAATCGTCGATCCAGAAATTGTAGAACATCATATACTTCTTGGCAGCTTTGGCAATGGATTTATCGAGTTCAGAGGGTGCCTTTGTGGTATGATTGCGACTTCGAGCAGGGACTGTAGCTTGAAGGGCTACATAATCCCTGCGTACGCTTCGAAGCTCGTTCCGCATCTCAAAATAAGCCTCTTGTACAAAGGAAAGTGCCTGAGAATAGATGTCAGTGATCGTAGTAGACAGACATGAAGAAAAGGACCATACCTTTCTCAACTCTTGCACATCTGCAGTGGGACCTGGGACATGGAGGGCCCTCTGCATCTGCTCGAGGTCACTTCCAGAGTCAGAGCTATCTCCATGAGTCCCTTTGTCAGCTTGAGAATCATTGCCGCCATCAATGGCACCAATGTGGCTGGTGAAATCCTCCTCAGAGTCAGATTGGGGCATTCTGAAAACAAATAATTAAACTGGGGCAACTGGGAAAAACTGGTCGTGAGTCTGGGAGTGCCGTTGCAGAATGGAAAACGTAGCTTGGACCAAGATCCTTATATATGTTTCCAGCCCGAAACCTGCTATCAGTTACATCTTGAAGCAGCAAGGAAATCACATACCTTGATTATTGAGCGTTAGCCATTAATGTAAAAGAGATGCAGCCTGTAACATGTAAAGGTGTCGGATCGAAATGGAATAGTTGACCTCGATGCAGTAAAATGAGTTTGTGGTAGGATTCAGTTCTGGGTCATGTCGACTAAGGTCCGACAACATTCTCCCTCTGAATGGCATTGCTCAGCAAATATTAATACACACCGAGCCACCCTGCTTCCATGTTTTCATTCGAAGAAACATGTCACCATCGACATGGTCTACCACAAGAAATTCATCCTTTTTCTTCGGGTCAGGGAACAAGAGTGCACCTCGAATGATCGAAACTAATGGAATAAATGTGGAATCGCTTCTAGGCACAGCCTTGATGCGTGTAAGTTTCATGGCCTGGTCCAGTTCACGCTCCTGGCCGACACTTGCAGTATAAGGCTGAATGAGAGCAAGCTGAAGTTCTCCATAGCCGTGGATTTGACACATAAAAAAGGTTATCAAGCGAACAAAGGCTGTTTGTGTTGATGTGAGTTGCACATATGCACAGTCATAGCGAGGAGTGCCGAAGAACTGAGAGTTACATCGCAAATGATCGGTAGCCAACTTCCAGTCGACACAAGACTTGTAGTTGACTTTGAGGTAGCGGTACTCATATATCTGGTGAGTATGATATCAGCCACCATCTAATTGGCATGCAAGCGGCAAACACATACATTAAAATCAGCTGGGATGGTAACCCACTTTTTTAGCTCGTGCCCAATTGAAGGCAGAAATTTGTTGATATAGTTGGTGAACTTTCTTTGAAGCCTCAGGTATGCTTTGTCTTCACGATCATGTTCCGCTTCAATCCCCTGGATGGTGGTGGGCTTGCACGGTGACCCAAGCTTGCAATGTCCCTCAAAGCCCAGTTTGAGGACACTATTGTCGTTATCATCCCCACTTCTTGCTTTGTGCCACTTGTCATACTGGTCTATATGAGTACGTAGGAGCCTGCACGCAAGGATATGTTGGTCAACACGAAGAATCTTAGCAGAAAGGGTGAGATACATCCAGGCCCAAAGCTTTAATAAATCGCCTACCTGTCCAGCAACATCCCTACCATTTGAGCGATCTTGATAAGCTTCCTTTAGAGGGCCATGCATTTTTTCGTTGGGGTGAGTACTGTAGTTTCGCACTGCCCCCTTTTCTCGTATATCACACACCATGTGTTTCCACAGGTGCACCTTTGGAAAGTCCCAATCTACCTTGAGACCTGGGATGGAAGAGTTCATTGTGCACTCTTTGTATGCCTATGAAAGTGAACGTGACATCCGAGAGAGCTAACTAAAGAAATAGCATTTCAAATGGAGAGTCAAGACTCACCTGTAGCCTTTCGTTGAAAACAAGAAGCTCAGTTTCAATGGCAGAGAGCGTGCGATTGGTTTGGATGTCGAGGCCGATCAGACTATCAAGTTGTAGATAGCTGCTGATAAGGCCAAGAAGGAGATATCCCTCGGGACATGCTGCCTTCGTAAGGATACTTAATGCGGGATAAAAAACTTGCTATTACCAGGAAGTTACGTGTCAGCGAAACACCATGAAACATGGAGAAATCTGGCTCACAATAGATAGGTCAGCAAACTTATTCCCATCATTAAATGTCACCTTGAGGATGGCTGTGAAATGAAACAGTTTCCACCAGCGTGGAAACTCCTTTGTACTGTTATTGTAGGGTAGATTAGTACATGCCAAAACTCAGAACAGAATCGAGCTCACAGTCGTTCAACCATTGCTTCTGCATCACATCCAAGGTACCTCAAAATGATCTTCAGATCTTCAAAGAGATGTTTTCCCCACAATCCCAGGTGGAGGACATGCAAGCGATCAAAACTCAGTGCCAAGTGAGGGTCAGAGTACCTGATATGCCAAAAGACATTCTTTTACCCTTAATAAACTTACTGTGAATGGGGGCTATGAGGAACATACGGGTACAGGACGCAGACCAAGTTTCTTGAGAATTGCTTCACCAGTGGCCTTACAATCGTTGTAAACTCGCAATGCTTCCTCTCCTTGCCCTGCATTGTGAAGAGCAAAAGTCTTAGAAATGTCGTGGAGTAATTCAAGTGGCACGAGGCATATAGGGCATGGAGCCTTGCCATTCCGACCTCGAATTAAAGACATCATACATCTGTTGGTGCAATCATTCAATTAACTCAGAAACCGATTTGTTCATTGACTTGCTGTTCCTCATAGTCTGCAGATAGTATCAAAAACAATGGGAAAAGATACCATATAATCTCGTCCCAACACCTATGCTGAAAGCCAGTTGCCGAGAAGTGAACCATGGCCTCGAATAATTTGATGGCACTTTCATGCCAAACAACACATTTCAAAGTTGTATAGCCAAGTTTACCTTCCTCAGCTGCATCCTCTGGGATCTTGAAGGATTAGATCGCATTAGATGTCAGTATTGTGAGCAGACCATACTATAACGTAGAACTTACAATCGGAAGCCAGCCGACAACACAACCTCCTCCAACGGACTCAGAATTCCGGATGTCTACAGGGAGATTAGCACACCGAACAACTACAGGGTACCCTTTCACAGTGCCATGAGATGAAAGCCTTGTCTTGTCAGCATACAATATAAAACAGAATGGTATGGCATTTTCAACATCAGCAGGAAGCTGAGACTGTTAAGGGGACAGCAATGTTATAATCAGCCCAGGGACAAGAACTGTGCTTGCACATACTTACCTGTATGTCCCACCAGTGATCACATGTCCAAGGCTCACCATAAAAGCGTTCATACTCTTCCCCATTGTGTTTGTAAACCCGTTCAGCGTCCCAGACAAAGTGTGGGGCTAATTGTGGGTCAGCGAGCAGGTCAAGAGCCCAGTCCCAGACTGGCCGAGTATGAACCTCAAACTCCATCTCCTTGCCCTTGTATGGTGCAGAGATGATGTGCTTGGTGAACTAAAGGATCAATATCGATAAATAGCATTCACAGCACAGCACAACTAATACACACAGGTGTTAATTCGGCTCCTGCATTATCACATGCCTTCTGCAACTCAGCATCATTCTTCATTGTCACCTGCTCCATACCTTTGGTTACAAGAAGGAAAAGTTCCAATAATCCATTGACTTGAGTCTTGTTCAATCCAGCATCAAGGGCGATCTCTGCAAAAAGATAATCACCTCAAGTTTTGAATGGTTTCCATGGCATGGAGTCAACCATAGTGGGCAAAGCAGCGTTGTTGATTCCAAATTCTTCATACGGCTGGTGCAAAACAGGCCAACGACTGCATGGATGGTACTCCATTTTAAATTCAGTGGGCGGTTGGAGGGAAGCAGTAGATAGCGGGCATGATCGTGATGGCAATTCAGTAGATATATTGGAAGTGCTTTCCACGGATGCATCCACGGATGCGTCCACAGTTGCTAGAAAAATATCACAGTTAAATGATCAATCCGATAACACTATATGCTGAAGAGGTACTTACTAGGATCATTACTATTCCCGCTGTAGTCATTGTGGTTCAATTGATTGCTATCAACCAAAGGATCAACTATTTTGTGATAAGTGAAGAATATCAAGCTAATATGAATGGAAACTCACAGCCATTGCCATCATCCCCATAGATATCACTATCTACATGTTCACAAACAGCATGGGAAGAACCAGCATCTGATTGAGATAGATGCTGCCGTGGTGCAACAGATGCACTGATTGAAGCACGATCATCTAGTAGTTGAGCCTTTTTTTGAGCTGCAGACACGCAATAGATCAATTCAAGCATTAGAAGGAATTTAAAAGCTATGAACTCACCCTTGCAAGTTTCTCTTTCCAACTCCTTCCCACGTTCGGCTTGTTCTTTCTGTAATTCTTGTTGTTTTTTGCAGCCGATTTCGTGCCTTTTGATACCCTGTACCTTGAACTGTTTGCCGCAAAACCGGCATATATGGAGGGTAGAAAGCGTTTCCTCGGAGTAGTTGTACTTGCCTCGAGGATTGCGCAAGGGTCCCATGATTCAGGTTCTTGAGAAACAACATTAGCATAATAATAGACGGTCTTTAATCGATTATCGTTGATTACTAATAATACCAATGACATATGCATGCACTGATTACAGTATTAGAATCGAGCTACTAATCAGTAATACACTAGGAGTCCGTGGAACAAGCACAATAATTGGACAGTTTTCAAAGCTGAAATGGTGGCTAAAATCATAATAGTTACAATAGTCAAAATTTCAAAGGAAGTTTAAAAAGTCAAAGCAACGCATTTCGAAAATGCCGCAGGTATGACATGCAAACTTGGAAACACCAGAAAACAATGGATAAACCGAGCGAGAAGAAAGTCTTGAGAATAAAAATGGTGAACAGGGGCATAAAAGATTCCTCCGTTTCCAACACTTGCGACTCCACATCGTTGCCAACTTGTACATAGCAGACTAGTAATATAGAAAGTGACATTAGTACATGCAGATAAATGTAAATACCGTATGCACTGTTTGTCCCGGGTGATCCTCCAATTACTGCATGGCCGGTACCAACACCGTTGCAGTTGACCATGACTGCAGAAGGTCCTTCCTTGTCACCTGTTATGTGTTCATCTCCACAGTGCATGTTAAGGGATGAAAATGACATACCATCCAGCCCACTCGACCCTCCAACTCTGGTGGAGCTGATATTCGCTGCCCTATGCAATCTCCTACTCTTCCTCTTCCTCTGCACGTGTTTCCTGGCCATTTACTGAGAATTACATTAGTTATGCAAATAAAAAAACATCCTGAGTGACTCACAGATACTTGTAGAGTAGAGTGGCTTTCTGTATGAGAATGAGTGATGAGAGTGAGCAATGAAAGTGAGTGCAGGAAATGTCCAACGCATGAGAAAATAGGAGTTGAAGTTAAACAACTTTACAAGCAGTACTTGCGGCTAGTATGCAATTTCGGACGCATGATAGTCAGTAAATTATTCACATAAAGTATGAAATGTGTCATGTGATTGATCAGGCTCGCTGTATAATGTTCCTTCATCGAGGACTCTAAATTTTACAAGGAGCATGTGTACATAAATCACCAAATGGCAGGTGATGTGAATGCGAACATCTTGCTTTTGCTTGCGGAAAGCTCGGGGTAGCCTGGCAACAACAATCTTAGCTGAGAGGTCCTTGATACCAGTGGGGAGGGGAGGGGGTGGGGGTGGGTGGTGACACAGGGGTTCTGGGTGAGCACAATCCACGCGTGCAATAAGTAGATTATCCCTGCTCTCAGTATCAGGTCCTGCATCTTGACGGGTGTAATCTGTCCCGGCGTCACCAGCCATGCTCTCGTTGTCATCATCGATGCCATCAGGTGCCAGTCTGCATTGCTCCCTTGCGACCACCTCAACTCATCCTCGACCGATTTCGACGTGGCATATGAAAGCTAAATAGACCAGTGTCCGATCATTTATTCGACACTTTCTTGCCACCCATTTGATGTGGCACATTGTCAAATGCATTCTGCGTCCGATCCACACTAGCAGGTACATATCATTCACAGAAGTCGCTTTGGGAACAGTAGGCAACATACTCAATGCTCCTGCACGCAACGATGTCAGGTATGAGTAAAGACCAGACCTATGCCTTGATGTGTGGTGTGGGTGGTAATCGTCGCCAGAGGGAAGCAAGTCATCGGGAGAAAGGATGGGAGTGGGATCACGAAGTGGTCGCGAGCATACTTGCGCTTGTACCGTAAATGAGTCGTCCTTTGAGTGTTTCTCAGTGGCAATCAATGGTCCCGAAACAAGCTTGAAAATGAATTAGTCCGAGGAATGACCTTCTTGAGGAGATGGATCAGGATTCTGACACCCCTTTCTCGATCCCCAATTCCACTGGAGCCGAGTCCCCACTACAGTCGCAGGCTGGTTCCCATCCTCCTGACATGGCAGCCACTGTTCGCCCACCTCCCAGTGCCAGTACTTCTGTACTGGAGGATACAACTGTCAACCATCAAGCGTCAGCTTCAATTTCCTGCGAAGGTGCAGGTAATGCGAGGCTGTCTGCTACGACTCAAGTCCACCTTGGTGTCGGAAGACTTTCCCTTACTGACCCGGGTGATGCTGAATCTGGACGCTCCGTTTCTTCTGCTCGCTGCACTTCTGCAGCATCAAAGCAGAGGATCACACCTGTTGCAGCTGATGCACCTCTTATTACCCAGCCACCACAGGAGAAATGCCATACGAGAGCGACGAATCGTGGAAAGAAATAGTGGTTGGGTCGTGCCAATTCTGTTAGTACCTTTCTCACTGTCTAAGATCTAAGGCTGTCGCCTTCCCGCATACTTCATATACATTTTTGCGAGAGTAGAATTATGATTTTAAATGTGATTTTGTCCTCTGGATTTCGGTGACAAAAAATGCCTGTATTTGCTGTCTGAACTACAACGACTATGGTACTTAGGATATTGTCAACTCGTTACCAAACCTGGTTGGTACATTATCAAGCAGCATAGCCACATGTTCATTTCTTGTTCTCGTTCCGTCACCATGTTCATGACTTGTTCCATTAATTACAAGGCTATTAACATAACTTCACAAGCATCGACGCCTTTCAGACTCTCATGGAGTCGTTCAGTAAGTTACTGCACCATAATTCATTGTATCATTATTGATACAGAATGATTGTCAGGTATTTTATAATTTGTCCATGCTCTAGTGTCGGCAACAGTATCGCTCTTAGCCTTGATGACGATGGTCATCCCCAGCCTCTTAACAATTGCCATCCCCATCCCCAGCCTCCACAACAATGGCTGTCACCATCCCTGGCCTTTCTCGATGACCCTCTGCCACAGCGTATTGATGCCAGCGCTCCAGCTCTAGCAAGTCTGTCAGTTCCTTTTTTATTTTTTAATCTTTATCTCTTATTTTTGTTCCTCTACCCCAGCTGCATCTGACCTAGTACCCCAGTTTGTCCCAATGACGATAACATCTGGGATCCCCATCCCAGCGATGAGACTGCCCTCAGCCTTGGCAGACAATGACGATGACTGCTCTGGCTTTAGCCTCACCCAATGATGGAACGACACCTCCTCTCCACCCAACAATGACGCCACTCTTGCCTAGTCACAATATTGCTTGGTAGCAATGTCGCATTGGGCTACGATAACATCGATTCAGTAGTTGGTACCACCATGTGTGCATATGCACATGTTGTACATTTTCATGTGGCTCCTGAGCCCATCTGCTTCCCCCTACCTCCAGATCTCTTTGGTGATTGTGACAAGATTTTAGGTGCACTCATTGTGCCATTTCCAACCCAACTTCATTGATGCCCCCTTCGCCTATGACACCCTCAACCTCGAGGCCTATCTCCAGTACCCACAGTCCCCCTATGGTGTCTCCTCCATGTCTTGTAAGCCCAAATCAGATCCTCCATCATTGTTGTAGCTTACATCACCTTATGGCAGTGCCCGGCCCCTCTTCATCTTCCCCCCATCCCGGCTTTGACTCGCTGAACCTGTCCAACACCATTGGCAAGTACTCTTACACATCCTCATACATCACTACCTCCCCCAGTCGTCCTTACATGCCCCTGGAGAATGGCATTTCTCCCCTGCTGTCTACAACCTCTCCACAGGTGAGCTGTCTTCAGATGGCCTTACCTCTGGAAGGCGCAGCCACGACAGTGGTACCTGCTCACCTGTGTCAGCCCTTGGAGTGGTCATTGCAGCCTCTTGGCCAAGCATTGCTCAGCGCTATCATGTTTGGTCTTCTTGCATCGATTCCATTGGTTATGGGTACCATTGCCACTGCTATCTTCATGTGGTCCTTCTATTGTCAGTACACAGCGTCCCTTATGCTCCCAACGATGATGGCCATTCCAAGTCCCGGCGTATCAACACCACCTCTATCCTCATCTGGCGACAATGAGGATAGCAGCGTCCCAGCCCTGAGTTTTCATAATGATGACGTTCCCCTCGACCCACCTCATGCATTAGATCATATTATAGTGCTGATTTTGTGTATATTAGCATGTAATATGATTTCTGTAATTGCTATATGGTATAGAAACCAGGCAATATTAGCTTGATGTTAATGGATTGTGTGCCATCAAAATGTCGAACACTCGCATTGTCATGTCATCAAGATGTCGTCCAATGAAATATTGTCTGGTTGTAATTGCCATAACAAGTAGTGATAATGATGCGAGTGCTCCATTATCATGACATTATCACTCAATGACAATGCCGTATTCCATAGGGTTCGTGCCATGTTGTCATGACATGCTTATGTCACAGAATTTCCATTATTAGACAATAATAATGTGCATTGGGGTCATGACAATAGGGTCTGGGCCATGTTGTCATAACATGATCAAGTAATCGTTCACCATTAGCATGCATTATAATGAATCCGCCAGCAACCACCATTGAAATGTCTTTATAATGCATTGTCACGTGCCCAAGAAATTTGGGACATATGCTCGTTCTTACTCGTTTCGTCAACAACCGCGAGTTCCGACCCGTCGCCAGTGAGATTTTCGTGAGTCGGAGTGACGCCGGTAGTCAGCCTCACTAGTGTTTTCATGCCAGCTTGGTGCGTTTCCTTGTTGGGCGGAGCTCACGACGCGCTCACAAATATTTTGCTAACTGACATTATTTTCGCAAACCGCTGTAATAGATCTTCAGCGCTTAGTCGAATACAAAACAAGCCACATTCAAGATGAACAGACCCTTCAACACCTGAAGCTCCTTCACATGCTCCAGAAAGCAGAGCTCTACGAACCTGGCATCAATGGACGATCATGCGACGTAAAATTCTGGATCGAAAGTTATCGCATGGCAAATGATTCACATTTCGAAATTGAAGAACCCTAGAGTTAGACAAGTCACGACTCCTGTGGATTGATAGCTATCACACGGTGGGTTGTCGAGGTGGACCTTGTCGACTTCGAAAACCTCAAGTCCCTCACAGTGCAAGGGAAACATTTTTCTTTTTCACGAAAAAATGCAAGAGAAGCACCTGGTAGGATGGTAACACCGTTCTAGTGGGCGAACATCGAAAACTATTTGCCACTTTCAAATCCTGAGCGGTCAGTACGATATCCAAGTTCCAAGATGCAATCCACCTTCGGCTTGGGTCGTGAACCGCAGTATCGACCAACTCAGCACGTTGACCAGGCAGCATCTGCTCCTCTTTAAACGGGTCTTCTAGATTGCTACGTGGTTATTGTCAACGCGCCCGGTGTAGCTCCGCGGGCTTGAGGAGCTTCGATACCCCTCCGGATGCATAGCGCTGTACCGACGTCTTGCTTCCCCTTACGAGACGCTGCTTGGGTACCTAACACATAGCGAGAGTTCAGTGCGAAAGCGATCAACGAGTGGCAGCCATTTCCTGATCAACGATTTAACCACTCTAATGATGGGGTCGTACACGAGCGACGATTTGGAGAAGGGGTGACCGCCATGGGCTCGAAACTAAAATGGGGACACACCGCAGGAGCACTGAACCTGCCATACGATGATACTGCTCGCCATGCACGGTCCTCCCATCGTACTCGTCCTTGCAGCAAAGGCATATGACTTCGACGGGAGTACTAGCAAGTCAGCGAGACAACAGCGAGCCGATACAGCTACGGCCGTGCTGTCAACGACTTCTCTCACAACCGTGCGAGAGCGGCACCATAGCTGCGATATCAATTTCCGACGGGAACGAAAAATCCAGACAAAAACGTTGCCGCGAGATGTTGGCGACAACCTTGCCTTCCGCGGTAGGTGATATCCGTGTTTTCTTAGGTCGTCCAGTCGATACAATTATCATAAGCAGGATGTGGATGTAGGGTTGGGAACTTCGAAGGACGCGGCGCCGCCATAGCCTCAGCGTGCTTACACAATCTATAGAACGAGTACAATTTTTTCTTTCAAGTGCAGCTTTCTGGCTGCGGTGATTTAGGCATGCTATCTGCGTTGTATCGATAGAATTCCCTGGCAAACAATCTCCGAATCTCATGCGCTGCTGGAGCACCGTGCAGACCTTGAAATTGAGACGCTGTCAGACTCTCCCTCCCTCCATCTACTAGGCCTGACTTCCCATCCGAGCCGATCCCAACGATCGACACGAGTCCCATTCCTCAAAGGCTATGATTCCCTACTTCCACTTTCTCCTTGATTCCAGTCCTTTCCCAAACGACCGCCTCCCTCGTCTGCGATGCCGGTGACTGTTTTGTATCTTTATACCTCTTTGTCTATTGCGATGCAACTATCCCCTCCCCATTCCTTCCTCCTCAGATGGGTCTACGGACGAAAAAACAAAGGGGCATGCCACTCTTAGTTCATTCCCCCAACTCCCTTACTTCTGAGCTGCGCCGACCGTCGTTGACTGGAGCACCCCAATTGCGGGGATTGTCATTCTGTTGCATATGGGTACGGACGGCCAACACGACCGCGATGCATCGTCGAGGTTACGATATCACCGCGCGCGAAATTGAGAAGCAGGCTGAGATGGATGCTGAGTGTCCGCTCTGAGGACCATCTGAGCCTTGATTTTCACGTCTTTCGTAGTTGAAACGTTGTTGAGAGTCGTATCCCTGAAAATCACTCGTGACTGCCTTGTCCCCGTCCAGCGGCGACGCTTCAACTCTTCTGCCCGCGACCTAGGATGTTCTGTCCGTAAATTGCGACTCAGTTTTGCGAGTTACAAAGTCGATGCATCTGTGGTGAGTTTTTTGTTCTCGATGCCGAGCTGCCATTGATTGATATTCCTGGGACATGCACAGGCTGTAGCCATACAGCATGACAGTGTTTTCGTACCGCAAATCGGTATGGAGGCACCGATGTGGCGTTATTTCTGGAGAGAATTCTTATCATTACAGTTTAATATTACTAACCGTCCTTGTCCCAGCATGCCATACCCCCTTACACGTGTTCAGGTTCCACGTATCGATTCCGAATCAGATTCCCTACCGGGCATGTCCTTCTCGAAGGATTGGGTTCGGACCCTGGGTTCTCGCCGTGTTGTGTGCGTATCCCTATCGAAACGCAACTGTGCACACACCGTGGACTTGTTCATTTTATCCCCTAGATGCACGAGAGACCGTGAAGCAGTGCAACTTCGATGGCATGCTACTTATTCTCCGGCGTTTCCTATGGATACCGCGTTGATCAAATACCTAGTCTGAACCACAAGCGGTCTCATACATGACTTATGCCATCGTCGAGCGCCTTACGAACAGTCCTTGTACTTTTTACCCTGCGGCGGCAGCCTTCGGATCTCTCCTGCTCATCGGTTTTTTTTTTCCCCCTTGAATTGATCTAAGTAACACGATCACCCACCCATGGCACGCACAACATACATACCTCTCTCGCTCCTTGTTCGCTGGGTTGCAAACGGTACTTCATACAATATCACCGTAGCAACAAGATGGGCCTCCGATGTCCGCTGCCTTTCGTGCCATCCGCGAGCTTCCCTGTCCCGGCAGGTTACTTCCTCCTGATACCATAGCTTAGATCCGCGGTCTATCAGTGATGTTTTTAATAGGCCCTGACATCCGACCACTGCCTGGGCTATAATCCTCTGCAGTTGGCACAATTGGATCCAGTTACTGCATATGTCTGTGAGCATTGATTTACTACTCAAAGAAATATTCTTGTGAGCACCCCACTATATCTCGTCACAGAGTGACGAGCCTGTGCCAAAGCAACGATCAATTGGAGGTCGGGCTCAGGGCAACACTCGAATCACATTGCTATGGTATGGAGGGTATGAGTATAGGGACATCCACGAACGGAAGGTAGGTTACAACGTCGATACCTGGTATGAAGAGAGCCATCCTTATTGTTGCCATAATAGCTGGACGAGGGTGAAACTTAGTCTTGTGCACTGAATTGCATCATGTAATCAGGAGCTGTGCAGGAGGCATTCCAACGGTAGTTCATCCCAGCCATCTCGCTGTGATCGCCACTCAGATAAAGATGCCCCTCTACAACAGGATCATGCTCAGAAAACTACGCAGACTTTTCCACCGAGGCCTTCGCTTGTTCAAAATGGTCTCGGAAGCTCCAAAGATTGAAGGTCTGTTCCATGAGCGGGCCCCTTACGGGCTCGCGAACGTCCGCGGGTGGTACTCCCTCATCCGTAACAACCCTCTTACGTCGGATTGTCAAGTCATCGGAGTCGGCTGGTACAAGAAACGGAAAGGGGCAGAGCATGAATTCTTGCGATTTGACATCTCTTCCCCCGACAATCAGCACACATGCATTGTCGTTGCCGAGAGGAGTGGTGGTGGTGTTTGCGGTCCAAACTCCGGTACTTCTGCTGACATTCGTTAGTAACTTAAGCCGCTGACAATTCTGTAGACGCCACACAAGCTGCCGATACCCTTGCTCAAACGGACACAGCGGTAGACGCTACGGCGTCGTCGCTCAGTCCACCAGAGACTTTTGTACTCTTACCTGATGTTGGCGATTCCACTGCAAGTAGTGCCGACGAAAGCAGTCCTCCGCTAGACAAAGTTACTAAGAGTGACGGGGAAAAAAAACAGAAGATGAATACAGCTCAAATTGCAGCTTCTTTTTGCTCCGGTTCCGAGCGCTACGCCTCTGATCGCGTTTACGTTGCAACGCGTATTAGTGCAGCAGGCGCTTGGGTGGAGGAGAGGTGCGACAGGTCTCGACTTGTCTGCACTTTATCGTTTACTGGCGCAAGGCCTACTGCAAACGAGCTAGCGACCTTGCTTTATGTAACCTCGGCACAGGAGCCCAAGTACAACCACGACACACAATGCTACTGGTTCGCCGCAACTGTGTTTGATGCTCTCAACATACTATATGACGGTGCCAAGCAAGATCCTATACCCCATCAGGGGGAGTACAATCTGTGGGGTACCGGTCGATTTCAAGGCCAGCGGGGAAGAGGTGTGCGCCAAGTATCGTGGTGCTCGAGCTGCTTTAGCCGAGGAAATTGAGCAGTAGCGCAGGCTTAAACAAGAGGTAACTTGTCTTTGATTTCTGTTTACTGTCCGTGCTTATGATGTCCCAAACAGCAAGGGGAACAGAGGCAGCGAGAACGTAAACAACGCCAGGCCGCGGAGGAAGCCGCGAAAAGGAAGGGCAGAGGGAGCGCGAGCAACGTGAAGCTGCCGAGCAGGAAAGGCAGAAGGAACGCGAGCAACGCCAGGAGGCCGAGGAAAGGGCACGGGCAGCGCAGGAAGAGATTGCGAAGTTGCTCCAGGAAGTGGAGGCGTTGAAGAGAGCGGTGGCAAGTACTCAACAGGCTTGATGGACGGTGCTGGCCGCACATATACTTATACCAGTCTCGCTTTTTCCTTGTCATTCCCGGACTGCATACGATATGACTCCATGCTTTTCAATATTGTCATTAGTGGATGTCACGACATCTCTGTCTATCTAACTGCCTTATTACCATCACTCCTGGGGATCTCAGGCGTATATCCCTGACATTCTGCTGCTGAGTTGGCATAGCTTTGTACACCTCCTGGGTACTGCCATAACCACGAGGATGCTGCCCCTCGACGAAGAGGTCCAACTTTACACCACCGGCGCAGAACGGGAGAAATACTCTCTTCTAGCTACGCTCTTCGGTATTGTAGTCGCACTGGACTTTCTGGAACGCGCATACGTCCGCGATTCAATTACTGCCGCTGAGTGAGTCCAACCACTAGTTATCCATTCCATCGATCCTATCGGTCGGTTCAATGTGGAGCTCGTACATACTAAGATGTACTACGAGAGGTACTCGCCGGCATGCACGAGGTTGTTGTCGCAGTATATGACGATGCTCAAGTTGGTCAAGGATTCGATCCCGTCGATCGAGGAGTTCATGACCCGCTATCGCGTGAGTCCCACTTCTCCTCTTTCTCCTTTCACCCAACGTTTTGATCTTGTTCTGTACGTGCGGCGATGACCTAGCTTGATACGCCTGCTGCGCTGCATAGGATCAAGGTAGGGGTACCCGCCACGGTGGAGCATTCGAGCGAGGCTGGTCCTGAGACTGGAAAATGAATAGCTGAAACGACAAAGGTACGGAGATCCTTCGATACTCTGCTCACCTATTTCCCACTTCTCCGCGTCCCACCGCACGCTTGATCTTCGCACTAAACATGTAACGCACAGAACTTCATAACCTTCATGGACGCACTCAAGTTACGTCTGCGCGCAAAAGATCAGCTACATCCTATCCTTCAAGAATTCGTTACGGGGTATGCGAGGTTTAAAGGGAGCAAGGAATAGGAGGGAAGAAGTCGCATGGTCGGGTGGTAAGTGCTCTCAGATTCGTTCTTTACCTCCTCCTTCACACACCTCACTCGCACACACGAAAAGGTTGATCACCCTCAACGGGATGAACATACACAACGATTTTAGTAGTTGAACCGTACGAATTTCAAGGCACCTGGCAGTGCTCTAAATCAAGCAGTGTTGACTGTGGGCTTGTCGTGCCGAGCGCAGGGAACCAACAAGAAACCTGCTACGTCACGTAGTATTACTTCTCGTAGCCCCTCGAGCTTGGTAACGCAAATAGAGGACACACCATCAACCACGATGCCTATTACTTCAGAAGCTTTTGCAACTTCAACACGAGTGCACTCTTTTTGGTGGAGGACGGAAGAGTCGGCTTGGGTCAACTCCTCTGGGTAGGAGGTACGTAGAGTATGCGGCCGTCATTTTTGTAGTCCTCGGCAGCCTGAGGAAAGATAGAAACGTTTCAAGTATATGGGGATATCGCGCTGAACGTGTCAGATGAGTAAACTTGTGTCGGGCCATCCGTCGCGCTTTAGAAATTGTAACCAGTGCACATGTCTGTTTGGTGATGGCAAATGCACGCGGACGGATTGAGAAGAAGTCCTTCAAGAGTACGATACAAACCAAGTGCGTACCATATGATAGAATATAAACTGGGCCACAGGGAGTGCGGGCGGGTGAAGGGACAAATACACGCACACAAAACATCTATTCTCTACATTACATTACATTGTTCAGCCGGAGGCAGCATTTGCCAATCAACTGCGAGCAACCCAGCAGGGAGTGCTTGAGCTGCCATTCCACATGAGTACATCGCTCAGTGTCCGGCGCGAGACCCTTCGGATGCATCCTTGGCATTGCATTATGTACTTGACTGGAGGTGGTACGTGTTCGCGAGTTCTCCGTCTAAAACACATCTATGGGGTTCCTAACTCTCCCGGTGCAGGCCAGTGCCGTGCACCGACAACGACGGTAAGACTGCCGACAACGTTAGAACTAGCTTTCCTCGACACGAAACGTGGACTATGGTGGAGTATGTGGAAATGGAGGGAGGAGGGAAGGAACAAACTTGAAGAGTAGACGAAAGCTGAAAAGATCTTTAGGTTAAACCATGGGCCCCGCGTATTCCCGCATGTTTCTCGGATTCACCATAGCTTATGCCAGTGCGTGCTGACCTTGAAAAGAAAGGTGACTCGTTGTAAACATCATACTCTCAGAATTAATATGTTTAACGACGACATGATCACAGCAAGGCGCCGCCGCTCTGCAGGTCCAGATACTTTTATTCATTTCCTATGCATATACCAAGTCACTCCTGTACTGGAATCCGAGCACCTCCCAGCACAATTTTGAAGGGTCTCAGCGGCTGGCGGTGTTTGACTGCGACGTCAGAACGTATCGGTCATCATCCCGCTGGAGCCGAGCGAATATATAACGGCAGTGAACAGTACCATCGGGTCAGTTAACTGCCAATCGTGTCTTCTTGTCAGGTTCGCACACGTCGCAGGTTATTTATGAGTCTATCCACCATTTAATCGTACTCCCCTCTGACAGGCATCCTGGAAATACGGCACGCGTAGCCAGGTTGTGTCAACGCTGTCAGTTATGTCCCCCGCGTTCGTCACACAAATTTCCGATATGCTACAATGAACCCTTGATATTTGACTGGGCATGAAGAGGTCATCGTTTTCCACGGAAGGCTCCAGGAAAATATAGCCGTGGAGGTGTACTTTGGCCGTACCTAGGAAGCTCGACTATGGTAAGTACCGTAGTACTCGGATCAATCAAGAAGTTTATATACATTCAGGCATTGCGCAATCCGGCGTGGATTCGCAGTTCACCCTCTCCATCTTCGACATGAACATGGCAGGTGTTAGCCTACTCACCGTGCCCAGCGTTTTAGCTCTTGGCTAAATATCAGAACCTCCATAACTAATCGCCATGCATTGGCAGGTCTTTCCGTACAACCATGAACCTATCCTGTCGATGGATTGTCGTGAGTGCCGATCGGTGACTATTCATTACTGCGTGGTAGAGCTAAACACGTTGTGGAGGGGACGGGACGTGGGCACACACTTTACATCAAGGAAATGGTGATTGGTCGGAGACCCACCTAGGCCCCAATTGCTGCACGGGAGTATGAGAATAAGAGAATTGATAGCAAGAGTAGAGTTTCCACTACCAGATTGAGTTCCTAATACCTAACGGAACCATGTCAAAATCATGTAAGTGACAATCTCTAATCTGTCCGGCTGTCGACAACGCGCAAATCAAGTTGACAATCCACACCCGAATTCGAAACATGCTAACAGACCTAGGAAAATATATCGCGTCTTGTCTGTAAGTCAGTCTCTGTCAACATTTAACATTGAAACTATCTGCCAGAGATACTGCACCTCTGCGGGGGCAGTATGAGACATAAGTACACACGTTGCAAATTATACATGGGTCAGGAATGTTCTAACTATGTGTGGAAGTCCCTGAAGGAAGCTCTTCCATTCACATCTCCTCATGTTTGTCGCTTATTAGATGTGGCAGGCAATATTTCATTCATATCAATTGCAGGCGTTAATTCATGTATTACAGTTTTGTTCATTCCGAATTACAGTAACAAAGCTGGAAAAAGAAGGAAAATAACCACATACAACAATGCGCTATACTCTCTGGAATACGTGTTGTGGCGGAGTCTTTGCTTTGGAAGAGCAGGTGATATCTAGGCGCAATCACAAGCTTCTCCGGAACACGCTCCACGTTCCCGCATATCTCGGTTCCGCCCGCATAGTTTTTAGGCTTTGCTTTGTGGGTTGAGGGGATTCATTTACATTGCTGCTCAGCGCTCAAGGTTGCGACGTTCAACGTTCGGCCGCCATGCTGTCTTCTTTGGTCCACCTAGGCTATACTAGGTTCAATACATTTTACTCAAGCGTCTATGACCTTCCCCCAGCCATGTGTTATATGCCTCATTGCAAATGGCGAGTAGCACGTAAAGGGACGTTGACCTATCAATGTATGGCGATTGGCTATCGAGGCTTTGATGTTTACCCAAGGGCGAAAACGTTGGGAACGGTGGGCAAGCGTGTTAAACGCCTTCGAGGTGACTGTTGCTGGGGGCTGGATTCTAAGATATAAATTTCCTCATTCTAATGCCGTGTCCAGAATTCCCAAGGAAATAAAAGATACATGTTGTGAGATTGTAGTAGGACTAATTGACCACACCAATAACCAGAATCGAGAACATAACGACGGCTGTGGAGCTAACAAACAGAATGGTCTCTACAACTCAGCCAAGTTTCGTTGCCGAACCAGGTGGACCCAATCCATGCGTCGACAACACAGAACGCTGCAAAGAACAGGAAGAAGTGGATATCAAAGGTAGTTGACGATTTGGGATCCTGTTCCATCGTGAGAGAGGAATATGCAGAAATTGGACTACGACTGGGGGGAGGTGAGGGCGTGAACTGAAGAAGGTCCTTACCTTCTTCAACCCCTAGCTTTCCATACAACCTTGAACCTATCGTACCGATGGATTGTCATGAGTGCTGATGTAACTATCCACTGCCGGTCGTAGGGTTCCTACACCGGAACCATATTGAATTTACGTAAGCAGCTTGTTAAACGTGTCCAGCTGTCAATTGACACCAAACAAATCATCAGGCTCGTGGCATGGTCTTCACAAAAAGTTCCCACGGATCGCTATGCGAATGGTCAGCACTGGTCGACACAAGCTTTGTTAAAGGGTTCCTGTGAGTCAGTCTCCATGAACATTTGGAATTGAAACTGTTCGCTAGAGATATAAGCGATTCTGTGTGGGTAGTACCCCCGCCCTCATGTACATCCTGGCAAACATACTACGCAGAGTGGTTTAGCGCAACCTCTCTGTTGCGCCGTGGGCACTCATGGCACAGACCTCTGTTTCCTCCGGATCTACAGCAGCGATCACAGGACGCGTGCACATCTACGGCAATCATTGCGCACAGATGGCATTCAATGAAGACGGTCTTGCAGGAAGGTGAGTGGCTGGTGATGGAGTATATGTTCAGTTCCTGTTATATCTTCAGGTCAGAAGAATCCGCGAAATCAAGAGCATGAGCTTCTGGGACTCCGATCATTTTTCTAGCATAAGGTGGAAGGCACTTGCACTCACTCACCGTGTGCAACTGGCTTACAGTAAAAGCAGATTTAGCGTACTCCAATCACCACCACCACTTATCACTCGTTGAATAGTCTTCTGTACGACCCGTCTTGTGGGTAGATCAGTGCGGGATGCCGATGATTTCCCGCTGATATACGGGAGAGCTGAATACTTGGTGGCTCGTGATGGATGTGTGCTCGCACTTTGTACCGCTGAAACTCTCTTCGTGGTTATGTTATGTCTAACTGTCCGTGGCATAGTAGGAATTGGCTTATTGCAAATGCGTCGTACGGGGAGCAGGTTTGGGAGGACGACGGCCATATAGAACGAGTTCCAGTACTAGCTGTAGGAGTGAAGGGTGGTGAGGACTTCCCAGACTCACGAACGTAAAGACAACACCACAGGTGTAGATATCATGTGTTGAATGCCAAGTGTATATAACAACGGTCGAAATCGTTCGGCACAAGCACAGAAAGGCCGTTTCATGGACAGTCACAGTGAGGAGCGCACCATGTCAGCATTTCCATTGGGACTTGTGTCTGTGAACACATGTGTTAGAGCCAACGAAGGGAGAGTCATTTCAAGCCGCTTGAACTGTAGAAGATGGAAAATGACGTAGTACTCCTACAGTGGCAATCGACGAACCCGCTGCTAGTGAGACGTACTCTTAGACGACATCTCTTTGTATTTTTCTCCGTCGAGAGTCCAGTTAATACATCGTCAGGGTACGGCTTCTCTGGAGAATGACGCCGCTACACATCCCACGGGCACTCGACTTCCGACGAAAATAGCGTCAGAACCTAAAGAGACCAGCCTTAGGCATATGTTAATGCGTACCATGGGGTGACTGTTATCCGAACGTATTAGCTCGTATCATGAATGAGGCACACCGCGCATATACGAGGGCTTGGGATATTTGTCTACACAGGCCATGGGCCACTCACCATTTGCATCTGCTACCAAGTGAGCGTCTTCTTCTTCGTTTACGCAGCGATCAGAAGAGCAGTGGCAGACATAGACTCCATCTGATCTACGACCTTCTACAACACGTCCGAAGACCGACAAGTCGAGTGCGTTTATGCAGAGGTATTGCATACCTGACGTATCGAGTTTCTTTGCAGCCTTATCAATTCCCACTATCGCAATGATATCAACAGTGACATCGGTGCTAGCTTATTTTACTCACATTGGTGAACCACACGGAAGCAGAGACGAATGCAAAACGGAGGTGATTGAGAGACGACGGCCAGGGAGAACCAAAAACACAGCGAATGGCAGATTGTATGCCAATGTAAGCTTTCGCGTTGGGCCTTCCGGCGCGACGTAGATATATTATGATCAGTGTACGTACCTGTCTTATGATGAGAAACGCGTGCGCAGACGGATTGGCAAGAAATCCTTCAAGAGTACGATATCTTGGGGACAATATGAGAATGTACTTTGATAGCGCACAACAGGAAAACGTTCTGAAAGGTCGTGGAGAGCGTGCTTTCTCATAGTGCCCCTCCGCCTTCACGATTTCATCAAAAGAGAGCTTGCACTTACTCGCCATGCCTGGCCCCCACACCTGAACTCTTCGCGATCAGACTCACTATGTCTATTCACCGACTCGCCGTCACTGCTCATTATGCACTGGCCGTCCAGATCTGGTCTTCCGTGCAAGCCCTCATATCGATGGCCAAGAGTGAGATGTTAGTGACCCCTCATTTTACACGGGCGGGACTAAATACTTGGTCCGAAACTTGAGGGATACACTTGGGATTGCAATATGTATTTGGCTGTAGGTGGTACGTGTTCACGAGTTCTGCAATCTGAAACACACTTATGAGGCTCTTAAATCTCCCGGTCTAGGCAGCGATATGCACCGACAACAGCACCAAGATTGACAACGACGTCAGGACTTTCTTACTTCGACGCGAAAGGTGGACAACGATGGAGTATATGAAAATGAAAAGGGAAGGGGGGGGGATAGGGACAAACTTGAAGAACAGACAAAAGCTGAGTAGATCTTCAGACACAGCATGTCATATCATGGGTCCTGCATGTTCCCTCGCATTTATCGGATTCACCTTGGCTCATGTCGGTGCGTTCACAGCAGACGCAGTCTAGCTGGAGGCGGACGCTGGGAGATTCAACGAAAGGACGAAGAAAACTCCCAGAGCCGCGCGGTGTGAGCATGTCACTACCGAAAAAGGAAAGTCAAATCTCGAGTCGCTCACTTCTCTAGTGGCACCGTTCGTCATGCAGTGAGCGGCTGACCTCCAGGAAAAGAGTAACCCGCTGTAAGCATCATGCTCTAACGCTCAATATGTCCGACACCCACACGATCGCAGTAATGTGCCGTCGCTCTGCGGGTCCAGAAGCTTGATTCACTTCCTATGCATGCACCAAACCACTCACGTGCCGGAATCCGAGCACCTCACTCTTGTCCCAAACACAATTTGAACGATCTCAGTGACCAGTGGCATCTGACTGTGATGCCAGGATGTACCGGCCATCATTCCACCAAAATCGGGAGAATTATTCTTGTGACAGCAATGAACTGTACCTTTGAGTCACTCAACCGCCAATCTTGTCCTCTAGTCAGGTTCACATACATCGCAGGTCGTGAGCCTATCCGCCACTTAGACGAACTTCTCTCTGATGTACATCCTGGAAAAGATGGTGGGCGAAGCAAGTAAGACTTGTGTCAACACTGTCAGCAATGCCCCCGCGTTTGTCAAGCAAATTTCCAGTTTCCTGACAACGAACCCTTGATACATCACTAGGTGCGGAAGAGTTCTTGTGTTCATGGAAAGCTCTAGGAAAACATAGCCACCAAGCCTGGGAAGGCAAGCACTACGATACTGGGGTCAGTCAGGAAGTTTATGTACACGCAGGCTTTGCACAATCCGGGGTGGAGAAGGGGAATCCCTTCGACCCTCATTATCTTCGACATGAACGTGGAAGGCCTTTAACGCGCTTGCTCACCGTTCCCAACGTTTTCGCTATTAGCTAAACATCAGAGCCTCCATAACCAGTCGCCATGCATTGACAGGTCAACCCCTAGTTTTCCGCACAACCTTAGACATATCATATCGATGGATTGTCGTGAGTGCTGTGTCACAAATTTATTTGGTCCATTGTCACGTGCCCCCATTGTAAGCAGCATGTAATGGACCACTTGCCATTATAATGGTCAGGTTTGGCTAGATTATAGCAAATATGTGATATTTTATCTAAGATATAGTGCAAATGTGTAAAATATTATGTACAAAGACCCATTTTTGGCAATCTTTCAATGACACATGGGTGGCATTGGCATGGCTTATAACGGAAGTGTGAACAGCCACCCTTAACATGTATTATAAGGTTCTTATCACTTGCCCAAGAAATTTGCGACATGATGTGACTATCCATTGTCGCGTGGTGGCGATAAACACGTGGTTGTGAGTCCATGGGTATGCGCTTCGCGTCAAGGAAATGGTGATTGATCAGAGGTCCTACGAAGTCCTACATACCGCAGTGGAGCGTGAAAGAATTGATAGCGGGAGTGGAGTTCCTACCCCAGAACCATATTGAAATTACGTAACCAACTTGTTCGCCCATCGACAGCTGGATACACCCGATTTCGAAACTTGGCTCCAAGTTCCTTCGCACCCCTGCTTTGCGTCATATGGTCTTCACAAAGGCTCGCTATGCAAAGAGACAGCACTGGTCGAAACAACCAACCTTCGTTAAAGGTGAGTCCTGAGTCAGTCTCCGTCAACTTTGAAATTGAAACTATTCGCCAGAGATACAGAGATTCCCTGGCGCTTCTGTTAGGGTAGTAGGAGCACACACGCTGCAAATTACACACCGGCCAGGGATGTTCTTGCAATGTATGGAAGTCCCTAAAAGAACTCCTTCCGCACGGTCTCCTCATGTTCGTCGTTTACTAGATTACGATTTTTCGTTTCGGAACAACTGCAGGGTACTGATTCATGTATTACAGGTTTTTTCGTTCTAAATTACAACAGAAAACAGAAAAATATGTACAACAACGCATTATTATTCCCTGGAATATGTGTTGTGATCGAGTCTTTGCTTTGGGAGAACAGCTAATATCTAGACACAGTTATAAGCTTCTCCGGAACAAACTCCACGTTCCTACATATCTCGGTTCCACTTACATAGCTTGCAAGTGGGCGTTTGTCTTGTGGGTCGAGGGCATGTGTGGCTAGCTCCACGGACGTGACTTCTGGGTTACTACTCGGCGCTCAACGTTCAGCGATCAACCACCATGCTGATATATTTGGCTCACACGAGCTATACTAGGTTATATACGCTTTATTCAGGCGCCCATGGCCTTTTTCCTGGCTGCGAGTCGTATGCCTCATTGCAAATCGAAGGTAGCACATAAAAGGAGAAGGTAAGGATCTTCAGCTCATGCCCTCACCTCCCTCCAGTCGTAGCCCAATTTCTACATCTTCGTCCTCTTACGATGCGCCGGGAACACAATTTCTTAACTCCCACTCATCAGGACGAGAAATATACTCGCACACAACGGATCTGTCGATGTGAGTGGTATTTTGATGACGTTTCTAACAGTCTATCCATTTCTAACCATCCATGCATACAGTTGCTTTCCTTCTCTTACTTGGCGCACCTTCGCTAGACGAGCTTGCTGAGATCCCAGAGCCGGACTTCAAGGAACTCAGAGACCGTTTAATTACTCGCATGACAAACACGACCGTCGTTGCTGCCCTTGCAGTCTCGTACGTCCCAAACTGAGTTGCTCTGATGTACCCCTGATATACTCACTCCGTTGCAATGCAAGGGCCACTGTGGCATTTCTGACCACCACTCCCCCAACCCCCTATGCAGCGTGGGACGAAGAATTCCCATACGCTTTTATCGCATGCGCTAGTGGGAGTGCTATATTGTCCGCTGCGAGTGGTCTTGGCTTAATTATGTACTTGGGCGTCATGACCCACCAATCTGTTATGGTCAGTGGTTACTGTTATCGATGATTCCTATCGCTTTGTTAACAACCAACAACTCTAGAGATTGAAGGGCAACGTCCTCAAACGCTGGGCTGCTGTCGTGTTGATGACGATTCCAACTCTCTTCCTGTTTATTACGGCGGGCTGTGCTTTCCTCGCATGGCTTGGCGCTGTCTGGTACGGTAATAAACTTTGGATGAAGTTAACAATGACCGCTTTAACCCTTGGCTGCTCAGCGCTCATTGTGATGCTGTTTCTGATCATTCCCATGCTCTATTAGTTCTGCTACCACATCACAACGCCCATCTTGTAGTCTCTGGATACTTGGCATTGGAATAACGAAATTCATATCTTGGAGGTCATGTCCATGGCAACAGCCACCGTAGACGCAAAAGAATTTGTTGAGGTTTGTGGTTACTAATGATGCCATTGAAATCTACTCCGAGTCGTTTGCGACAACCTGTTGCGCTGGTGGATTTTTCGGTCCAAGAGTACTCGGCAAACCCACAGTGAAATAGTATGACAGCGTGAAGATGCAACAGTACCTTTCCCTGCGAATGTAACTGTCCGGCGCACTTCACTACGCTTCCTCGAACCCCTGTCAAACGAATCAAACCTCACAGAATGGTAGCTAGCTGTGACCATAGTAATGAGCCTTGCGTATTGCATCTGCTGACTCTGGCTCGCAAAGTAGCAATAGTAGAAGATGTACACACACCTTTCCATTTCCTATGAATGTACATTCCTGCCGAAATCCGGACACCTACTTTGGACCGGATCGTAGGCACCACCTCACGTCGAAGAAGGGAACTCTCGCTTGAGAGCCACCGACCACCCTTCTGGAACAACTAACACAGATCATGGTGAACATCCGGTCGAACTTTGCACTCATGTACACCCGGGTAAACATAGTGCGCATAGTGGTCAAGGGCGGTCTCCCGGTCCCGCTGGGGGGATTCACGACTCGTTCCACTATCATCTTCGGTTCTGCGACGACGACGACGACATGCATCTTCGATTCTGGCCAAGCTGGCAGGCCATGAGAACCCCAGTATTGTTGCTTTCGTTGTTGTAGCAACGTTCCTCGGGAGCGAGGACGTTGAATTCTGCAGAAACGGCGCCGAATCAAGGAAATCTTGTGGGACGATGAGTGGCCACTCAGAAATAGACAATGTTGCATGCATTCAGTTCCCGTTATGTCCTTGGGCCACCCGTAGGGGTGGAAACCCGCAAAACTAGGGTACGGTCCGCTGGGACTGGGTTCTAAAGTTCAATCTAATCATACATTGAGCAGGAGGCGAAGGACGTTCGCACTTACCTACCGTGCACAATTTCTCATTTTGCCTTAAGATCACATTCACCATAGCCGGCAAGTGTCGAGTAAACCGGAAGTCTACTGAGCGATGTCATTCCGATCATGTCCTCAACGAATACACCACGCTGACGTGTCCCGTTGCGACTCTCGGACCTCAGCACTTCCTATCGTTCGACGGAGGAACCTGGAACAGACATGCGCCACATTTTGGTGTGATAGTTGGGTGAGCCTCCCGAAACTCTACCGTTCGAACTTCCTACCAAGCGCTTCTTCATATGCCAAGTCATCTTGAGCGTGCTCCAAAGAAGGAACTGAAAAGCATATCCACCTCGCAGCGAGCTTCGTGCCACATTCTCGAGCGCAAAGTTACCATGTGCTCTACGCATCCCCGCCGCTCCACAGGTGCCGGAGAAACGAGGATCTCTGTCAGAAGTTTGCATTGCACATGGATCTCCATATGACCGTCTGCCAGCGTAAGCCTAATCCAACGATAAGAATATATATAAAGGCGTCGACGACGCGATACTTTACCAGACTCGTGCCTCTGTTGGTTTGCCAGGCCTAACTCCTCATCCGACCTCATCCCTGCGACCGAGACAAGTGCCATTCCTAAACAATGCTGTACCTCTACTTCACATTTATTTTCTTCCTCTCCACTCCTGTTCTCGGGCAGATGACCACTTTTCTCGCCTACGACATCATCTATGGCGATGCCAACTGCCCCCTCTCTAGTCTCGCCTGCTCTGACGGGTCCAACGGACTCGAAAGCAAAGGGTACACCATCCTTAGTTCCTTCTCCAACTTCCCTTACCTCGGGGGCGCACCAACCATCGCGAACTGGAACGACGCTAACTGCGGCAAATGTTATGCCATCACGTATGCAAAGAACACTATCAACGTCCTTGCACTGGATGTGTCGAAGGATGGGTTTACGGTGTCACCACAGGCGATGAACGTACTGACGAACGGGCAGGCAAACGCGTTAGGGAGAGTAGAGGTCACTGCCGTTGAGGTGCCCGCCAGTGAATGTGGCTTGTGAGGATGGGAGGTGACGGCGCAGTTAACCTTGCGAGCGGCACGTTAGCAGGGATCAGCATTGAAGGACCTTGTCTGTATTTCTTGGCGGTGTATCAGGTTCTGTACATGGACCCGTTGATCCTTTGATTAGAATACGGGCTTCTTGTTATATCTTCACTTGGACGACTTGTACCGGGACGTTGTCGGTGCCTTTATCGGTACCTTAGACTTGATACGTGGTTTGTATAACATCTAGGCACTTCCTTCTGCTTCCAACAGACATTTTCAATCCAGACTCTCGTCGGTTGTTTGTTCGCACCGTCCGCAGGTAGGCATTTGAAGTTCCTTCACATGCTCCAGAAAGCAGTGCTCTACGAACCTGCCGTCGATGGACGACCATGCGACATAAAATTCTGGATTGAAAGTTATCACATGGCAAACGATTCACATTTCGAAATTGAAGAACCCTAGAGTTAGGGCAGAGTCACGACTCCTGTGGATTGATAGCCATCTCACGGTGGGTTGTCGAGGTGGACCTTGTCGACTTCGAAAAATCTCACGTCCCTCACATTGCAAGGGAAACTTTTTTCACGAAAGAACGCAAGGGAAGCACCTGGTAGGATGGTAACACCATTCTAGTGGGCGAACATCGAAAACCACTTACCAGTTTCAAAGAAAATCCTGAGCAGTCAATTCGACATCCAATTTCCAAGATGCAGTCCACCTTGGGGTTGGGTCTTGACCCGCAGTATCGACCAAATTCAGCACGTTGATTAGGCGGCATCCGCTCCTCTTTAAACGGGTCTTCTAGACTGCTATGCTGTTATTGTCAACACGCCCGGTGTAGCTCCGCGGGGTTGGGGAGCTTCGATATCCCTCCAGCCGCGTAGCACTGTACCGACATCTTGCTTCCCCTTACAAGACACTGCTTGGGTACCTAACACGTAGCAATAGTTCAGTGGGAAAGCGATCAACGAGTGGCAGCCGTTTCCTGATCAACGAGTTAACCACTCTAATTTTTGATGGGGTCGTACATGAGCGAGATTTGGAGAAGGGGTGACCGCCATGGGCTCGAAACTAAAATGGGAACACACCGCAGGAGCACTGAACCTGTCATGCGATGATACTGTTCGTCATGCACGGCCCTCCAATCGTACTCGCCCTTGCAGCAAAGGCATATGACTTCGCGGGGGTACTAGCAAGTCAGCGAGATAACAGCGAGCCGATATAGCTACGGCGCGTGTTGTTGACGACTTTTCTCACAACCGTGCGAGAGTGGCATCATGACTGCGATGCCAATTTCCGACGGGAACGGAAAATCCAGACAAAAACGTTGCCGATAGATGTTGGCGACAACCTTGCCTTCCGCGGTAGGTGATCTCCGTGTTTTCTTAGGTCGTCCAGTCGATACATTTATCATAAGCAGGATGTGGATGTAAGGTTGGGGACTTCGAAGGACGCGGCACCGCCATAGCTTGCTTACACAATCTGTTGAACGAGTACAATTTTTCCTTCAAGTGCAGCTTTCTGGCTACGGTGATTTGGGCATGCTATCTGCGTTGTATCGCTGAAATTCCCTGGCGAAACAATCTCTGAATCCCATGCGCTGCTTGAGCACTGTGACAGCCATGAAATTGAGACGCTGTTGAACTCTCCCTCCCACCGTCTACTAGGCTTGACGCCCCATCCGAGCTGATCCCAACGATCGAAACAAGTCCCGTTCCTCAGAGATTATGATGCTGTACTTCCACTTTCTCCCCCTTGATTCTTGCGCAGACGACCGCCTCCCTCGTCTTCGACGCCAGTGACTATTTTTCTATGGCGATGCAACTATCCCCTCCCCAATCTTCCCTGCTCCGATGGGTCTATGGACGAAAGAACAAAGGGGCATTCCACTCTTAGTTCATTCCCACAACTCCCTTACTTCTGGGTTGCGCCGACCGTCGTCGACTGGAGCACCCCAATTGCGGGGATTGTCATTCTGTCGCGTATGGGTACGGACGGCCAACACGACCACGATGCATCGTCGAGTTTACGATGCCACTGCGTGCGAATTGAGAAGCGGGCTGAGATGGATGCTGAATGGCCGCTCTTGAGACCATCTGAGCCTTGATTTTCACATCTTTTGTAGTTGAAACGTTGTTGAGAGTCGTGTGCCTGAGAATCACTCGTGACTGACTGGTCCACGTCCAGCAATGACGCTTCAACTCTTCCGCCTGTGACCTAGCATGTTCTGTCCGTAAATTGCGACTCAGTTTGCGAGTTACAAAATCGATGCATATGCCGTAAGGGAGTTTCTTGTTCTCGATGCCGAGCTGCCATTGATTGACATTCCTGGGACATGCACAGGCTGTAGCCGTACAGCGGCACCGAAGTGGCGTGATTTCTGGAGGGAATTCTTATCGTTACAGTTTAATATTACGAACCGTCCTTGTCCCAGTATGTCCTTCTCGAAGGATTGGGTGCGCACCATGTTATGTGCATATCACCATCGAAACGCAACTGTGCACACACTGTGGACTTGTTCTTTTTATCCCCTAGATGCACGAGAGACCGTGAAGCGGTGCAACTTCGATGGCATGCTACTCATTCTCCGGCGTTTCCTATGGATACCGCGGCGTCTGAACCACAAGCGGTCTTATACATGACTTGTGCCATCGTCGAGCGCCTTACGAACAGTCCTTGTACTTTTTACCCCGCGGCGGCAGCCTTCGGATCTCTCCTGCTCATCGGAGTTTTCTTTGTTTTCACTTGAATTGATCTAAGCAACACGATCACCCGCCCATGGCACGCACAGTCGGGCTCTGGGCAACACTCGAATCACGTTGCTATGGCGTGGAGGGTATGAGTATAAGGACATCCACGAATGGAAGGTGGGTTACAACGTCGATAATATAAATATGCCCCTCCACAACAGGATCAAGCTCAGAAAACTACGCAGACTTTTCCGTTGAGTCCTTCGCTTGCTCAAAATGGTCTCGGAAGCTCCAAAGATTGAAGGTCTGTTCTCTGAGCAGTCCCGCTATGGGACTGCGGACATCGGGTCGTGGTACTCCCTCATCCGTAACAACCCTCTTACATCGGATTGTCAAGTCATCGGGGTCGGCTGGTACAAGAAACGGAAAGGGGTAGAGGATGAGTTCTTGCGGTTTGACATCTCTTCCCCCGACAATCAGCACACATCCATTGTCATTGCCGAGAAGAGTGGTGGTGGTGTTCGCAGTCCAAACTCCGGTACTTCTGCTCACATTCGTTAGTAACTTAAGCCGCTGACAATTCTGTAGACGCCACACAAGCTGTCGATAACCTTGCTCGAACGGACATAGCGGTACACGCCACGGCGTCGCCGCTCACTCCACCAGAGACTTCTGTACTCTCACCTGATGTCGGCGATTCCACTGCAAGTAGTGCCGACGAAAGGAGTCCTCCGCTAGACAAAGTTACTCAGAGCGACGGGAAAAAAAAACGGAAGATGAATACCGCCCAAATTGCAGCTTCTTTTTTCTCCAGTTCCAAGCGGGACGCCTATAATCGCGTTCATTTTGGAACGCGTCTTACTGCAGCAGGCGCTCAGGTGGAGGAGATGTGCGACAAGCCTCAACGTCTCTGTATTTTATCGTTTACTGGCGCAAGGCCCACTGCAAACGAGCTAGCGACCTTGCTTTATGTAACCTCGGCACAGGAGCCCAAGTACGCCATTGCCCAAACACAATGCTACTGGTTCGTTGCAACTGTGTTTGATGCTCTCAAGATGCTGTACAAGGGTACCGTGCAAGATAACCTGACTCATCGGGGGGGTACAATTCGTGGGGTACCAGTGGCTATCAAGGCGAGCGGGAAAGAGGTGTGCGCCAAGTATCGTGAAGCTCGAGCTGCGTTGGCCGAGGAAATTGAACAGGAGCGCAGGCTTAAACAACAGGTAAGTTGTCTTTGATTTCTGTTTACTGTCCGTGCTTACGATGACCCAAACAGCAAGAGGAAGAGAGGCAACGAGAACGCGAGCAACGCCAGGCCGCAGAGGAAGCCGAGGAAAGGGCACGGGCAGCGGAGGAGGAAAGACAGAGAGAATACAAGGTAGCGCAGGAAGAGATTGCGAAGTTGCAACGCGAACTGCAGGCGTTGAGGAGAGCGGGGACAAATACTCAACAGGCTTGATGGATGGTGCCGGCCGCACATATACTTATACCAGTCTCGCTTTTTCCTTGTCATTCCCGGACTGCATACGATACGAGTCCATGCTTTTCAATGTTGACATTAGCGGATGTCACGACATCTGTCTATCTAACTGCCTTATTACCATCACTCCTGGGGTTCTCAGGTGTATGCCCCTGACATTCTGCTGCTGAGTTGGCATAGTCTTGTACACCTCCTGGGTACTGCCATAACCACGACGATGCTGTCCCTCGACGAAGAGGTTCGACTTTACACCACCAACGCAGAACGGGAGAAATACTCTCTTCTAGCTACGCTCTTCGGCATCGTAGTCGCACTGGACTTTCTGGAACGCGCATACGTCCGCGATTCAATTACGGCTGCTGAGTGAGTCCCACCACTATTTACCCATTCCATCCATCCTATCGGTCGGTTCAATGTGGAGCTCGTACATACTGAGATATGCCACGAGAGGTACTCGCCGGCGTGCACGAGGTTGTTGTCGCAGTAGATGACGATGCTCAAGTTGGTCAAGGATTCGATCCCGTCGATCGAGGAGTTCATGACTCGCTATCGCGTGAGTCCCGTTTCTCCTCCTCCTTCTCCTTTCACCCGACGTTTTGATCTTGTTCTGTACGTGCGGCAATGACATAGCTTGATATGCCTGCTGCGTTGCACAGGATCAAGGTAGGGGTGCCCGCTACGGTGGAACATTCGAGCGAAGCTGGTCCGGAGACTGGAAAATGGATAGCTGAAACTGACACAGGTAGGGAGATTCTTCGATACTCTGCTCACCTATTTCCCACTTCTCCGCACATGTAACGCACAGAACTTCATAATCTTCATGGACGCACTCAAGTTACGTCTATGCGCAAAAGATCAGCTGCATCCTATCCTTCAAGAACTCGTTATGGGGTACACGAGGTTTAAGGGGAGCAAGGAATGGGAGGGAAGAAGTCACATGGTCAGGTGGTAAGGGTACAATCTGTGGGGTACTGGTGGATTTCAAGGCGAGTGGGGAAGAGGTGTGTGCCAAGTATCATGATGCTCGAGCTGCTTTAGCCGGGGAAATTGAACAGCAGTGCAGGCTTAAACAAGAGGTAACTTGTCTTTGATTTCTGTTTACTGTCCATGCTTATGATGACCCCAAATAGAAAAAGGAACAGAGGCAGTGAGAACATGAACAATGCCAGGCTGCGGAGGAATCTGCGAAAAGGGCAGAGGAGGAAAGGCAGAGGGAATGCGAGCAATCATGAAGTGGCTGAGTGGGAAAGGCAGGCAGCCGAGGAAAGGGCATGGGCAGCAGAGGAGGAAAGGCAGAGAGAACGCCAGGCCACAGAGGAAGTCGCACAAAAGGAGCGTGTGGCAGAGGAAAGGGCACAGGCAGCGGAGGAGGCAAATGAGAAGTTGCTCCAAGAACTGGAAAACTTCGCATTTGTTTCTTCCGCTGCCCATGCCCTTTCCTCGGCCAGATCGCATTGCTCATTCCCATTTTGCAGCTTCCTCTGTGGCCTGGCATTCTTTCTACCTTTCCTCCTCTGCTGCCTGTGCTCTTTCCTCAGCTGCACGCCTTTCCTCCTCCGCCCTTTTCATGGCTTCCTCCACAGCCTGGCGTTGTTCACGTTCTCGCTGCCTCTGTTCCTTTTTCTGTTTCGGGCATCATAAGCACGGACAGTAAACAGAAATCAAAGACAAGTTACCTCTTGTTTAAGCCCACACCGCTGTTCAATTCCTCGGCTAAAGCAGCTCGAGAATCACGATACTTGGTGCACACCTCTTCCCTGCTTGCCTTGAAATCAACCGGTACCCCACAGATTGTACCCCCCAGATGGGGCATGGGATCTTGCTCGGAACCCTTGTATAGCATCTTGAGAGCGTCAAACACAGTTGTGGCGAACCAGTAGCATTGTGTTTGGGCAATGGCGTACTTGGGCTCCTGTGCCGAGGTTACATAAAGCAAGGTCGCTAGCTCGTTTGCAGTAGGCTTTGCGCCGGTAAACGATAGAGTACAGACAAGTCGAGGCCTGTCGCACATCTCCTCCACCCAAGCGCCTGCTGCACTAATACGCGTGCAAAATAAACGCGATCATAGGCGTCCCGCTTGGAACTGGGGGAAAGAGAAGCAGCAATTTTTTTTTCCCCATCGCTCTTAGTAACTTAGTCTAACAGAGGACTGCTTTCGTCGGCACTACTTGCAGTGGAATCGCCGGCATCAGGTGAGAGTGCAGAAGTCTCTGGGGGAGTGAGCGGTGATGCTGTGGCGTCTACCGCTGTGTCCGTTTGAGCAATGGTATCGGAAACTTGTGTGGCGTCTACAGAATTGTCAGCGGCTTAAGTTACTAACGAATGTGAGCAGAAGTACCGGAGTTTGTAATGCGAACACCACCACCACTCTTCTTGGAAATGACAATGCATATGTGCTGATTTTCGGGGGAAGAGATGTCAAATTGCAAGAACTCATTCTCTACCCCTTTCCTTTTCTTGTACCAGCCGACCCCGATGACTTGACAATCCGACGTAAGAGGGTTGTTACGGATGAGGGAGTACCACGACCAGATGTCCGCAGTCCCGTAGAGGGACTGCTCAGGGCACAGACATTCAATCTTTGGAGCTTCCTATTGGCAGAGGAACGAGGACGAAAGGGGAAAAGGGCGAGAGCTAAAGACGAGCACTTGCCTTTATGATTGGATTGAGTGTTAGAAGTATACGGTATTGAATAAGAGCTATTGAGGCTTGAAGAGTAAACAGTATGAGATTGACTGCTAGTCTGAGGGGATACGGCAGAAACCCCTTGGTTTATATACATGTAGGTATGCGCACAGACCAGGTGACGCATATGGTAAGTAAATGTACTACCTACTATGTATAGTAAAGAATGTCATGGAACGCCGTAGAATAAGTGGAGTAAAGTGACATCATAGTGGAGTCACTTAGAAAGCATGACATCATATGAGTCATCACTTGTAATAAGCAAGTCTAGAACCGGTAGTAATTTCAACACTCCCCCTCGCTCTAGAATGGTAATGTCACAAGACCAAGCGACGAGCGATTTGTTTCAAATTTCTGCCAGGTAAGTGACTTGGTTAATCCATCGGCCTTTTGTCGGTCCGTCTGGATATATTCGATGGCAAATAGATTATCCTGTACACATTCGCGTACGAAGTGCCACTGGACATCAATATGCTTGGAACGACCGTCTGAGACTGGATTCTCCGCAATAAAGCGAGCACCCATATTGTCACAGTAGAGAATAGTTTTCTCCAGAGTAAGGTCTAGTTCTTTGAAAAGCATAAACAGCCATTTGATTTGTCTGGCAGAGTCACATAAAGCCATATATTCGGCTTCAGTGGATGAAAGCGCAATTGTCTTTTGTTTGCGCGATCGCCAAGAAATAAGGGAGGTACCAAGAAACATAGCATATCCGGTAGTAGAGTGACGAGTATCGATATTGGCTGCCCAATCAGAATCAGCGAATCCGAAGATGCGAGATTCGTTCCCAGAATAGTAAAGTGCGAGTTTCGGAGTGGAAGCCACATATTTGACAATGTGTAGCGCTTT